GCTTCTCCCTCTCCCACTCCCCCTGCTTGTGTTCCCTCTCTCCCTGTGTCTCTCTCTGTCAAATAAATAAATAAATAAAATCTTTAAAAATAATAATAATAAACCATTGAATCCACCCATCAGGGTCAAGTTATATACACTTGTTAGCATGGCTGCCTGGGACAAGTTTCATAAATTGCATGTTCTTCCTTCATTTTAGAACATAAGGTGGATTGTTCATATCATAGATAGAAGCCACTGATAAATTTGACATATCAGTAGTTTATAAAATGCTATCTTAATGGGGTCTTCACTTTTTCACTTTTATCACTAATTTTGTTTTTCTTTTTTGTCACTTTATGAGTTTCAGCACACACATTAAGAGGGGTAACAACACAGACTCACTGAAATATGACTCTTGCATTCACAAACTAAATAAATGCCTTCTTCACAGCAGCTTCCTGGTTCAAAACTAAAATGCAGGACTCAATATCATGCAATATTAGGGTTTCTTCTGAAGAGTCAAAACTGTATGTAAATTCCCCCAAACCAAGGATCTACTGCAAATGGTATAGATTTGTAATGCTTCTCCTTCATTTTGTGGCCTCCTTGAGTATGCATTTGGGGAAAGGGTGGTGTTCTTCAACTAATTCCTTATTTTTAGTTATGTATTTTTCTCTTTTTAAAAGCTGGAGTATAACATATAAAAGGAAAACCTTACGACATTTTACAGAGTTAATGTTAAGAATAAATAAATAATACTATAAAGCTCCAAAACTTGCAAATCACCAGACCAAAGAAAATAATTTATTAAAATGCCCCTCCCCCAACATTTATCCAGGCAGGAATCACCAATCGTATTTCTTTGTTAAACTAAATGACTTCTTCCTTGCCTGCCCTGAATCTTTTAGACTAGATCAGAGGTTAGGTGTCTTGGCTGCTATTTGACTCAATTAGACAAATAAGTTAACCTGTTCACTGTAATGTGAAGTCATCATGATTCACGATAATGCTTTCAACTTGTAGGAATCGAATACTTTTAGGCACGTTTTTCCTACTCTTAACTTTCCTAGCCTTACTCTTCTCTGTAACTTTTGCAGGCCACTGTTTTATACGACCTTGACTTTTCCATGTGTAGAACACAAACCATGAGAATGATCAAATGATCACTCTGATTACCATAATAAAGATGGAACACACCACAGTGGAAAACCCAATACCCTAGCCAATTCAAAATTTTATTTAGTACTGTGTTGTTTTTTTTCTTTTAAGTAAACTCTACCCCCAATGTGGATAAAGAGTCACATGCTCTATGGACTGACCCAGCCAGGCACCCCTATTTAGTACTGTTAAAACAACAATGATAAAAGCTCTGGATAACCAATTCCATTCCTTCATAAGAGACAAGAATGAATATGAACCTTTACACTGTTTCATTCTTAACTGAGAAACAGTATGTTTACAAGCATATAGTTAGGTAACTTTATGCATTTTTATAGAAATGCCTACCTTTCTGAAACAGCCTCATCATGATCCCGTGATAAATTAAGCTTTTCACTTGCTTTTTCTGAAGGGTTAGAAGGTTCAGAGCTCACAGAAGTCTTTCCTTCATCTGGACTACTGACTAACTCTGGATTCTTATCCAAATTCATGGTCTCTGAATTTGTAATCTGTTAATTGGGTGAAGAAAAAGCAGTTAAAGGGAGTGTTACCACTTGTGTTCTTCCACACAAAATTGATAGGTAAAATTTCACTTGGAAAATGTTCTCAAAATATTCTTGAATACATAGGGCAAAACATATGTTAAATTATATGTATTTCAATGTCTCATGACAATGTTTAGAGTGTCTTTGCCAAAATAAATTTTAAAAAATACTTCAAGAAATAAAAATAATGATAGTACAAATCAACTTCCTAGCTTGGGTGGGAAGGAAAAACAAACACCTAAGACAACATTTTATTCCTATTAGACTATGTTTTAGGAACTCAGGAACACTAGACTGTAATAAGCACACTTTTACTTTCATTATACTCCTAATAATGAGTGAAGACCAGAAATAAATCAAATTTCCAACTTGTTCTTCCAGTTGAGTTTTGTTTAAAACTTGGAAGTTGAAACACTTAGTCCATGCTTTGGTTGAGAATGTGCAGTATTTAAAATATAGGTGTAGGGGCGCCTGGGTGGCTCAGATGGTTAAGCGTCTGCCTTCAGCTCAGGTCATGATCCCAGGGGCCTGGGATCGAGCCCCACATTGGGCTCCCTGCTCAGCGGGAAGCCTGCTTCTCCCCCCCCTCCACTCCCCCTGCTTGTGTTCTCTCTCTCGCTGTGTCTCTCTCTGTCAAATAAATAAATAAAAATCTTTAAAAAAAAAATGTGTATATTAAAGAATACAAAAGGGTCAAACTGATTGCCCAATTCATAAGCTTTTCTGGTGGAAAACGTGAACAAAGATGCCTGTACACAAAGGCAGACTTCTGAAATGTTATTAAGGTTGCAGATTCTATATGTAGAAATAGGTTCAAATAACATTGGAAAACAATAGCAAAAAATATTTGGTATTCTTTCAGTTCCAGGACAAAGTGGCTCACTTATCCCTGCTACTCCCATCTAAGCATAATGAAAAACCCTGGAAATAATTCAACAGATAATCATAAAATGCCTCTGAACGGTGGAAAGAAAAGGGCAGACTGCCTGAGGATCTTGAGATTGCGGAGAGAAAGCACAGTGAGTTCCCTCGGTTTTCTTTTTATTATTCATATATCCTACACAACAGGTGCCACAAATATCAGGGACCCATCCTTCTCGCCAAACGTAGAGCAGGGGGTACTGAACCTCCACTCCACACCTGCAAAATCAGCAGCCGTATTCACTGCAGCATTAGTGTCATCCTGGTCCCCACCTGACAACTGGAGCAACAGTGGGCCTAACCGGCTGCATAGCAGTATTGGCAAAGCCCAGCCAGGGACCAAACCCTAGGACCCCACACCTGAAACAGCAGTGGGACCATCATCCCTCATTTGGGACAGCTGTGGACAAGGATTACTGAAGCATCAGCGTCGTTGGCAGGGCTGCATTCTTTCTGGAGGCTTCAAGGGAGTGTTTCCTTTTTTCTAGCTTCTAGAAGCTACCAGAATTCCTTGGCTCATAGCCCCTTCCTCCATCTTCAGTGCAATCATTCCAACCTCTGCTTTCATTGTCCCATCTCTTTCTGTCTTTGACCTTCCTGACTCCTTTTTGTAAGGACCCTTGTGATTACACTGAGCCCACCAAGATAATCTCCCCATCTGTGAGTTTCCTTTAACACATAAAGTAACATACTCACAGGTTCTGGGGATTAATTCATGGTCATCTTTTGGGGGTCATTATTCACCACTATCAACCACTATGGCAAAATTAACACAAAAGTGACATTTATACAACATTATATCCAACATGGAACATTCACCAAGGAAGAAAAAGCATATCTTGGGCTATAAAGTGTCAATAACTCTCAAGACAGAAATTTTACACAGTATGTTCTCTGATCAAAATAAAGTTAAATTAGGTATCAATAAAAATAAGATACTTAGAAAGGTCTCAAATGTTTGGAAATTAAACATACACTTCTAAATAACCCATGAGTCAAAGAACAATACCACAAAGGAAGTTATAAATTATTTTCAACTGAAGAATACCAAATGGGCACCTGGGTGGCTCAGTCAATTAAGCATCTGCCTTTGGCTCAGGTCATGATCCCAGGGTCCTGGGATTGAGCCCCATGTAGGGCTCCCGGCTCAGCAGGAGTCTGCTTCTCCCTCTCCCCTTGCCCCTCCCCCTGCTTGAGCTCTCTCTGTCTCTCTCTCTCAGATAAATAAATAAAATCTTTTTTAAAAAATACACTACAGGGGCGCCTGGGTGGCTCAGTTGGTTGGGCGACTGCCTTCGGCTCAGGTCATGATCCTGGAGTCCCGGGATCGAGTCCCGCATTGGGCTCACTGCTCGGCAGGGAGTCTGCTTCTCCCTCTGATCCTCCTCCCTCTCATGCTCTCTGTCTCTCATTCTCTCTCTCTCTCAAATAAATAAATAAAATCTTTTTTAAAAAAATACAGTACATCAAAGATTATCTCTGTAGTCAGAAGTGCAATGTCTAGGGGTACCTGAGTGGCTCAGTTGGTTAACTGTCCAGCTCTTGGTTTCAGCTCAGATCATGATCTCATAGGTTGTAAGACTGAGCCCCAAACTGGGCTCCATGTTCACCGGGGAGTCTGCTTGAGATGCCTTCCCTCTGCCTCTCCCCCCACTCGCACATGCTCATGCACTTTCTCTAGATAAAGAAAATTTCTAAAGATTTTATTTATTTGTCAGAGAGAGAGAGAGCACAAGCAGGGGAGCGGCAGGCAGAGCAAGTGGAGGGAGACGCAGGCTCCCCGGTAAAACGAACTCTACCATGATCCCAGGGATCATGACCTGAGCCGAAGGCAGATGCTTAACCAACTGAGCCACTCAGTGGTCCCTCTAAATAAATAAATCCTTAAAAAAAAAACAAGTGCAATGTCTAATTACTGAGATGCTTAGAAAATGCTTAGAAAAAGCAGTGCTTAGAAGGAAATTCATAGCTTTAAATGTTTTCTAGTAGAAAAGAGGATTAAAAACCAATGCTCTTTCTCTCTTAAGAAGCTGGAAAAAGAAGAATAAATTATATCCACTATAAGTAAAAGGAAGGAAATTATAAAAAACAGAAAAGAGATGTGGTAGAGAGAATAAGATTTTTAAAACCCTAGTCAAGACTGATCAAGAAAAAAAGAAAACACAGATTATTGGTTTCAGAAATGAAACAGTATATAATTACAGATCTACAAATACTAAAAGGACAGGAAAATTTTGTTAATAATTTATGTCAACAACAAAAAGATGGTGGAGGAGTAGGGGACCCTATTTCAACTGGTCCCTGGAATTGAGCTGGATATCTACCAGACCACTCTGAGCACCCACGAAACCAGCCTGAGATGTAAGAAGATCTGGATCTCTACAAACAGAATATCGCAGGTGGTTGGTTTTGAGGTACCAAGCGGGGAGCCATGATTCCATGGGCAGATATCGGAGGATAAATGGCAGCGGGAGGGTGCCTGGCCGTGGGGACCCTACACCGCTGGTGAGCGACAGCCTCGCTCGCTGGGGACGGGCACAGACTCGCAGACTGGTAGCGGCGGGGAAAGGACTCTAGGGCAGCCCCCAGGGTGGAAACCCAGAGCGGTGGGATCGCGCGCACGAACTGGGGGTGGCTGGTGGTTTTAGAAGCACAAAGGGCAGAGACGTGCCCCGACCTGGAGGCAGGACTGGGCAAGCGGAGGGGCGCACAACCCGGGACGCTGCAGTTTATAGCAGCATGGACAGAAACGGAGACAGTGTGGCCTGGAGAGCTCACTGAAGCACAGACTGCGGTCTCTCTGCTCTGAGGCAGAGGGTTGGAAACGGTCTCTTCTGACTCGCGGAAGAGACGCGGAAAGCCGCCAGGGAAAGGCGCCAGAGAACAAAAGCCCCAAAGACTGATTCCCACTGAGCCCATCCGCCGCCGCAGGGGTGCAGGGCAACTCCGCCCAAACAAGGCTGCCTGAGTAACAGCGCGGCAGGCCCCTCCCCCAGAAGACAGGCTGGGAAAACAAGAGGCCAGCAA